AGATAAATAAATGACATTGCCTTACCCTGTTGGTACTGTCCTGCCCTCCCCGCAATCCAATGTGCCACGCACATACATACTTTCCCATCAAGACAAGAAGCTTCAGTATGGGTCCCCACTGGGTCACCTATCATCCATGTGCCACCATCTATACCTGCATTGGCTCCCTGAGGTCTTAGAGGTAAGTGGAGTGTGGAATTTTAGAGACTATCATAAATGTTATACTTCCAATTTTTTTTGATGGTATTGGGGTTTGAACTCAGGGCCTCATTGTTGCTAGGCAAGTGCTCTACCACTTGAGCCACTCCACCAGCCCTGTATTGTGTTGGGTAATTGCGAGATAGGGTCTCATGAACGATTTGCCCAGGCTGGCTTTGAACCACGATCCTCCTGATCTCTGCCTCCTGAGTAGCTAAGATTATAGGAGTGAGCCACCCGTACCTAGCTATACTTTTGAATGTAATATAGGAAAAAGAATAGCATTTGGTTTTGCTATTTTTCAATCCCAGCACTCTGTAATCCCAGCACTAAGGAAGCTAATGCAAGAGGGTCACTTGGGATATATAGCAAGACCCTGTCTCAAACAAAACAAAATAAAACAAAAAACCAAGCCAGTCATGGTGGCACCTCTTATAACCTTCCTGTAATCCCAGCTATTCAGGACACAGGTAGTAGGATTGTAATTTTGAGGTCAGCATAGGCAAAGTTAGTAAGACCCTATTTCAAAAACAAGCCAGGTGCAATGTGGCTCATGCCTGTAATCTTGGTTACTTGGGAAGCTGAGATCAAAAGGATCAAGGTTTGAAGCCAGCCAGGGCAAGTAGTTTGTGAGACCCCATTCTCAAAATAATCAGACCAAGATGGACTGGAAGTGTGGCTCAAGCAGTAGAGTGTCCACTTTGTAAGCGTGAGGTCCTGAGTTCAAACCCCAGAACCCCTCCCTCTTAAAAAAGGGGCTGAGGGTGTAGTTCAAATGGTAGAGCATTTGCCTAGTATGCAAAAGATCCTGCATTAAATCCTCAGTACAGCAGAAGAACAACAAAACCATCCTAGTATAAAAAAGGCAGTCCTATCTCTCTACAATGTTTCAAAAGGCTAGTCTTCTGGCCTTTTGGAATTCTATCCCTGAGGGAATGTGAGACATTTTTAAACTCTAGGGTAAAGCAGGGTCATCACCTCTTGATACTTGTGGGACAACTGGTTGGAAGCTGGCCAAGAGCTGATGGTCCTGACAGGTGGACTGTTGATTCCCACTTCAGACCATGGTGACAAATTGAAACTATCTTTGGTATACTCTCATCCTCTTTCTCCATTCATCTATCATGCTGTACCCCTGCTTTAATCGAGCTTATCTGCTTCCCTGTCCTCATGATTTGAGCAAATTCCCATTTTTATTCTTCCCCACACTATATATATATATATTTTTTTTTTTTATGGTACTGGTGTTTCAACTAAGAGCTTGCTAGGTAGCCATGCCCCCAGTTCCACATAAAAATTTTTTGGCCTTCAGAATGCATTCTCTTATATTTTGCTGGGTGGTATGAAGTTTGAACTCACGGCCTCACACTTACTAGGCAGGTGCTTACTACTTAAGCCACTCTGCCAGCTCTGTTTTGGGATGAGTTTTTTCAAGATAAGGTCTCATGAACTATTTGCCTTGGGCTGGCTTCAAATCACAGTCCTGATCTCTGCCTCTCGAGTAGCTAGGATTACAGGCATGAGCCACCAGTGCCCAGCCACTCTCTTTATTCTGCTAGATAATATCCAAAATCTCTTCTAAGACCTGGGTCGCAATATTTCTAAGAAACCTTCCATTTATGCATTCACCGTATACTCTGTGGCTAGGCCTTTCATATCAATTTAACCAAACTCTACCATGTTCCCTCAGCAATTAGTACTTCATTTGTTCTACTTTTGTACATACTGCTTTTTTTTTTTTTTTTTTTTTTTTTTTTTTTGCAGTACTGGGATTTGAACTAAGGATTTCATGCTTGCTAGGAAGGTGTTCTACCACTTGAGCCACTCCGCTAGCCAGGCATACTGCATGTTTTACATTGGCATTTTCAAGCTATTACTCTATTCTGCCACCCAATTAAAGTGAAGCAGTGACCCTCTTTTCTCTGATCATCCTGTATTATTGTTCCAATACTAGTAATATAGTACTACAGTAGTAATCTGTACTCTTGATCCTCACAAAACCTTGTAAGGTGTTAATATTACTGCATCCACAGAAAACAGGTTCAGCTTGGCATGGGTGTTATGTGACTTCAGGAGGCTAAAGCAGTGGAATCACTTGAGCCTAGGAGTTCTACACCAGTCCGGGCAACATAAGGAGATCCTGTCTCTAGAAAAGGAAAAGGAAAGGGAGGGGAGGAAAGAAAGGAAACTCGAGTTTAAAGAGGTTACATCAGTTATCCCAAAGTAGCTTGTAAGTGGCAGGGAAGGTGGCAACCAAGATCTGGGTTCAAATAACAAGACTCAATGTAGAATATTAAGTAAGACCCTATGGGGGTCGTTAGATATTAAGTAAAGCCCTAGGAAAGGCATTGGGACAGAGGTTCTGAGGAGGAAAAGAGGGCTCCCCATCAACAATGCTAGCCAACAAATATACACAAAACCAACACCAGAAGCGCATTTGCAGGCCCTGTTTTTGTCTATTTGTTTAGTCTTTTATGGTTGGTTTCCTTTGGAAGAAAGGATATGTCCTCTGAACCCCTGTCAAATCACTCACCTCTCCCAACCTGGCTCTGTTCAGCCCCTCTGTTCAACCTGGTTCCGGAGGGTTAGGCGTCTGGATGCAAGAGGCCAAAGACTGCCCAAGCCGGGGTGACCTCGGAGGCAGGACCTCAGCCTTGTCCGCTAACGGCGGAAGACTGACGCGGTTGGACCGCGCCCATTCCCGAAGAGACAAGAGACATAATCTTGGCATCGTCCTTAAAGATGAATAGTAAGGGTGACTGTCTGTCTTCCTTGCCGCCCCCCCCCCCTTTCTGCTTTTTCTCTTTGGCCCTCCAGCATCGGTTCCACGGTCTGATTTACTAAGGGAGTGGGATAGTATAGGGAAAGCCACTGATTGCAATTGATCTCATTTACATATAATTTCCATGTTCACATATTTATGGAAGTACACACTTTATCAGTACTCCTCCTCTAACAGGGAATCCACGCCCTGCCACTTATCCAGCACATTTTACGGAGCTTCCCTCTCGGCTACCTTAGTCTCGCAAAAGCTACTGCTTAGGTCCGCCTCTCAAATGTTGGCTCCTCCTCCCACCCGTAAGCCCCTCCCTTCGCCCTCTCCCTCTCTAGCTTCCAAATATCTCTTCCCCGCCCCCTTATCTTTTCTGAACAGGCATGTTTCGGGCAGCTCACTCGACTCCTTAGATTACTATAGGTAGGAAGGGTCCTGAACGTCGAGAAAGCAGGAAAGCAAGTCCCGGAAAGAAGGGCTTGGACTCATGAAAAGAGTCTTATTTCGGGACCTGGTGGGGAATTATTATTTTTGGTCCTTGTTATGGAGCTCGGTCTAACTTGAGACAACGTGAAGGCCCCTTCAGGCGGCGCCGCGGGCAGCCCCGCAGCCGGGGCCTGGTGCAGCCGCCGCCGCCGCTGTCAGGGAAGCGCAGGCGGCCAATGGAACCCGGGAGCGGCCGCTGCTGCTGAGGCGGCGGTGTCGGCAGTCCGACCCCGACTGCCTGCACCCCCTCCGCTGGGGTCCCCCAGAGGTAAGCGACTCCTCCCCCTTGAGTCACCTTTGCCCTGTGGGGGGGGTCCCTCTCCCACCCTGTCCCGCACAGCCTCGCCCCACCTTGGTTCGACTACAAAACTGCCCTCTCGGTGGCAGCTGCACCGGGGTCCTTCTCTACCCTCTCCTCTCAGGCCTGGGGGTCTTCCTGTGCTTTTTGGTTTCCTCTTCTGCTTAGCTCCTCCCTGTGTCCCGGGGATTTCTCTACCCCCACCCCCACCCCCAATTACCTCTGTCCCTTTTTTTTTTTTTTAAAAGTCCTGAACCCTTTCCACCTTAGACGCCTTCCGTAATGTCCATCCTTGTTTGTCTTTCTTCGTCGTCTGTGCTTCTGCCCCAGACCTTTTCCATGGACTCCGCCTTTATCCCTTTTCCTATTTTGCCCCACTCCTCCCAAGTCTGTGCAACCTCAGCAGAGTTCCCATTTTCCTGAGCTAAAGATTGTATCCCTTGCTTCCTCTGCTGCTCTGGTTCCATTACTTCATGTCACCCACCCACCCAGTTCCTGGCTTCCACGAATTACCTATTCCCCTCTCCTTAATGGACCTCGGGCCCTAGTCATCATACCCAAAGTACCATTTACACTCTACTTTGACCTTAGTCCTTACCCGTCTTCTCTGGGGTGCTTTATGATCCCTTTCCCCTTTCTCAGTCCTCCCGTCCTCAGGAGGTTTGTTCCCGTTAGAAAAAATATCTGATACTACCCCTATCTATTCAGGATTTCCAACTTTAACACCTCCCTCTAGTTTCAAGGATTTTGCTGATCTTTGTGTCACTTTGGGTTCTTTTTTCTCCTGTGGCCTTTATGTGTTCTCTGTCACACTCTTTATCTCCACATACCACTTATTTCAGGATCAGCTAAACCTTGAACTAAGAAGAAAATGTGTTGGGAGGAGGGGGAGCCTCAGCTGTCTCAGACTTTTCTGGACAGAAGGGTGTTTCTGAAGGATGGAGCAAGTTTTGAAGAAGTCCCTATCAGATTACATTTTGTTGACTACTCAGAAGCAGCCACTAGGAGGGATGAACAGTCCTGCGTGGAAACTGAATGAGGTTGTGAAAAATTTTGTTTCGGATTATTTATTTGGGGGTTTGTGTTAAACACATCACAAAATGGAGTGTCTTCGCACCTCTGTCCAGATCCAAGAGGAGCCAATTTACTGATTGAGGCTTACTAGAATAGTTTTGATTGATTTCATAAAAGCTCAGGCCTGAGGTGGGGTTATGGGGATAATGGGGAAATGAACATGGAAAGAGCTTATATATTCAGAATTAGGACTCCAGGGTTCAGCATGTAACTTGTTCACTTCACCTCTAGAATTGTCTTTTGTGAAAATGGCTCACTCTGTAAGTATCAGTGCAGTAACAGGCTAACAGAGGGATGTGGGTTAAAGGAAGAATTAGATTTAGTTTGTTTGTTTACAAAACATTCTGGGTTCTCAGACAAAAGGTATTTATTGCTAGTTATTTTGTCATTCTGAGAACTTTCTCTCATCACGATCTTTCAAGTCTACAACCCTGAGTGCAAGTCAGTTTGAAATGCAAGCTCCTGGCCTGCTTCTTTCATCTGCCCTTCCCCCTGCCCAACACCCAGTACATTAAATTGTTGAGCACCAGTACTGTTTTTCCCATACTTGATCTATAATACCAGATTCTGTGGGCAGAAAGTGTGTTTGTGGGAAAGCCCTTTGAGGAAGCTGGCTGGAAAAAAGAACTTGGGTTAAGCTGGGATTTAGGAAACTTGTTGCTGCCATGTCTGTCTGTTAGCCTGTGATAGTGAAGACGGCACATGAAGTTCCATTCACCTTCTGACTCTAGGCCTGTTTGGAAGTTAAGACCTTTCCTTTTTCTCTCCAGTATTTAGCCAGAGTGCAGTATGTTCATAATCCTCTTTATTGAAGAAGCTACACTCCCTGGAAACACCCTCAAGCAGTATCTCTGCTTCCTTCTCAGTTGAGTCCATTCTGCATGAGATGGTGCTTGCTAAACACCATCCAAAGGAACAAACTGAGATTCTTTGATTTGGGGAAGAGGTTTGGGAGGATCCTCTCAAAAACTGGCATGGGACATGAAGAGGGCCTAGCCCAAGAAATTTGGAACTTGAAACAGGGAGGAACAGTTCAGACAAAGGTGAGCATACAGGTTACTTTCTTTGCTGTCTGTCAGTTTCATCAGGGGCTCTAAGAGCTAGCTTGGGCTATTTGCCTGGAATCTGCTTATACCAGATCCATGGCCCTGAACAGAATTCTCACCCTGATTCAATATTGACTTTATTACTTTGAGACCACTATCCTCCCTATCCCCATGCTATACCTTGGGAATACCCTTTCTTCTGATGCTGCCACTCTTTGGGCCTTGGGTAAGCACTGGTTCTTGGTAGGCTTGAGGTTGCTTGACTGCTCAGCCCTGAATTTCTACAAGGAAAATGGAGAAGTCCTTCTCTAACTTTACCTTTGAAGTCAAAGGGGAAAAATGAATTGAGACCTCCTTAAAGAAAGATTTGAGTTAGACCTTAAACATATGAGAAGGAACTTAGGGGGATAAGGAGTTTCTTTTGCAGAGCAACCTATTTTTAAAAATTATTATTAATTTGGGCTAGTGGCATGGCTTAAGTGGTAGAGTGCGTGCCTGGCAAGCATAAGGCCCTGAGTTCAACCCCAAGGACTGCCACAAATAAATAAAGACAAACAAAAATAAATAAATAAATATTAATTTGGTGACCACCCAGTAGTACTGTAAGAGTTCCTTCATCCTTTTCGTATTCCCTCAAAATTAACCTCTTTAATTATCTCAGTGTTTAGTACTGGAGTTATCACCATAGTTTTAGATAAAATGCTTGTGCCTCTATTTCTTTCTTTTCTTTTTTTTTTTTTTTTTTTTTTGTGGTACAGAGTTTGAAGTTAGGGCCTCATGCTTGCTAGGCAGGTACTCTCCCATTTGAACTACTCCACCAGCCTGACTCTATTTCTTGACTCGTTGCAAAAGAGGATTTAACTTATATGCTTATTTATGTAATTATGTCATTTTTATTTCTTCTATTCGACACTTGTGTAACTTCATTGCTTTTTTTGTTTTTGATGCTGGGGCTTGAACTCAGGGCTTTGCACTTGTAAAGTAGGCACTCTACTGCTTGAACCACATCTTTAGTCTGACACTTGTGTAACTTTAAATAATATTTTTTGAACCTCTCTTTCCATTAACTTATTTTTGTTTATTTATTTTGATGTAGTGCTGGAGATTAGAGACCAGAGACTTGCTCATCATAGGCAAATACTCTACCACTGACCTACAGTCCCAAGCCCTCTTTTCTGTTAACTTTAAACAGTCTCTCTGTTTTTGTTGTTTTGGTTTTTGAGATAGGGTCTTGCTGTGTAGCCCAGGCTGGCCTTGAACTCAAGATCTTCCTGCCTTAGCCTCCCCAGGGATTACAGGCATGTGCCACCACATCTTGCTAAAAAGTACCTCTTAAGTACCCACCTTCAAGGATAAAGGTGTTTGTTCCTTGGTTCTTTTTTCTACCTTTCATGATCCATTTCAAAGGATCATTTAAAAGAAAGAAGGTCTCTACATAGCCCAGGCCTGGCTTGAACTCACTTTGTAGCCCATGCTAGGCTACATGTGAGTCTCTGTGATTCTTCTGTCTTAGCCTCCAGAGTGCTTGGATTACAGACACGCACCACCACACCAAGCTCCAAATTATCTCTCTCTCTCTCTCTTTTTTTTTTTTTTTTTTTTGGTGGGACTAGGGTTTCAAACTTGGTGCTTGCTAAGCAGGTGCTCCATCAATTGAGCCTCACCTCCAGTCCATTTTGCTCTAGTTATTTTGGAGATGGGAACTCTTTGCCCAAACTGGCCTCGAACCATGATCCTCCCAATTTCAGCCTCCCAAGTAGGTATGATTGCAGATGTGAGCCACTGGTACCCGACTTTGAAAGTCATTCTGGGAACCAGGTATGATGTCGTAATTGGGAGGCTGAGACAGGAGACTCATGAGTTTGAGGCCAGCTTCCATTACACAGCAAGACTCTGTCTCAAAAACAAACAAGGGCAAAAAAGGCCATTGTGTGAAAATGAAGGAATGTATAAAAACATTAGGATTGGTCTGAATCAATTCATATTTATCTAGTCCATGGAAAAAGATCTGAAGAGGAGAATAGTGATGAACTGGCTGAGGGGAGTGATTTGGGGCTCTTTACCATCCTGTCCTAGGAGAGACCAGCAGTTCAGTAAGTCTTTTAATGGAGGCTGGTGGAAGGTTGTTTGCCTATAATCTTCTGAGGTAATGAAAAGTCAAGTTAAGCAGTAGCATCCCCTCCCACCAAAGTTCTCTGCAGACATGTTACTTAACTGCTCAGTCCTACAGACAACTAACATGCCCACCTTCTCTGTCTCTTCAGCTACGGCTCTGCCTTGCCCTCATGTATAACAACCCCTGATGCTCAGACTTGATTCCCTACTTTGCCCAGGCCAGAGCGGTGTGGCACAGTTGGCTGTCAACATTCCTGCTACTCTCACTCCCCTTTCCTATGAAGAGGGCTGCTGAATTAGGGAAAGGGAGGCCTCTTCTGTTTACCTTCCATGCCATCTGGAAAGAGAGCTTAGGCTCCTTGAGTGAAGTGTGGCGCCTCAGTTGTGTGTCCTTGAGGACCAAGGAGTCATTTGATATTAAAGGTTTGGATTTTCCTCTTTTTTTATTCCTCTGGTTTGCAAGAGTGAATGGTGAATACCAGACTTGTCCTTTCTCCTTTTCTTTCTCATTCTAGTCCTTTCACTTTCTTTAGAATGGTTAGCCATCAAAGGTATATTTTCTTTGCATTTTGGAACTCAATAAATTTATGTTGAGGAACATATCTGGATTTAGTTTTTAGAGACTACCTTTCCTATTTCTATTGTCTTAATTGGGAAAATAACCTAGCCCTATTCCCTGCAACATCCCTTCTCCCATGACTTGCAGTCCCTGTGTCCCTGAGAGCCAGGAGAGAAGCCCATTTCCAGCTTGGTGGCATCTAGTGGCAGAGCTGCTTATAGAGGGAGAGGAGTCTGGTTTTCCTGCCCCTCTTGATATCTGGTTCCCTGGGCAGGAAAGGAACTTCTCCCAGTCTGTTCCCACATACTACAATATGGGATTCCTAGCTGAGCCCTAGGAGTTTTTTCTTCTTTTGCCTATGGGATAAAAAGAGGTGATGGTATTCCTGCTTTTCTGGTGCCAGTAATAATCCCAATCTGCTGAGTTTTCCAGTGAGATCAGAAATACTGTATGTGTGAAAATAACGGAACTTCATTTCGCTTGAAAGTTAGGAGGACGGGTTTTTTGTTGTTTTGTGGTGCTGATGATCAAACACAGGGCCTAACATATGCTAAGCAAATGCTCTGCCACTGAACTATACTTATACCTCCAGAACCCCTAAGTTTTGGAAGGTGGACTTTTAGGAGTTTCTGTTGACTTAGAAGTCTCTAGAGTAGAGAAAAAGGGAAGGATGTGCCAAGCATACAGATATTTAGAAAAAATCGATTGTATGGATAATTGAGGCTACAATGTCAATCTCTAAACAGACCCCGAGTTAAAGCCTGAGTACTACAAGGAAAAATAAAATAAAGCAAACCTCTCATAAGAGTGCCCTACAAAGGTGTGGCAGGGAATGATTAAAGCTTACTTCTTATTATTCCTGTGTGACCCATAGCTGCGAGTAGAGACAGATCCACATAGGCAGCTGTACTGGTTCTGTTGCTCAGAGGGCACTACCTAATTTTGGGAGAGAGCATAGTGAAAGGGTTGTCACCTTCTTACTGATACCAACCTCAGACTGCATCAGGGAAATTAAATTCACAAATGAACTTCTTGTATAACAGACTTGGGAGAAAGATGAACTAAAGTAGCATTTTTTTGTTGGTCTCTGAGAACAAAAGAGTTCCCATCTGTAAAACTTTACTAGTAGCCGGGCACAGGTTGTTCCTGCATGTAATCCTAGCTACTTGGGAGACCTAGATTAGTTGGAGGCCAGCCCCTGCAAATAGTTCAAGTGATCCCATCTTCAAAATGGACTGGATGTGTGGCTCAAGAAGTAGAGTGCCTGTTTTGCAGTCCTGAGTTCAAACTCCAATCCCACCCAAAAAAAAAAAAATTTAGTGGTAACCTTGACAATTGACATTTTAGTGTTTTGAAAAGGGTGGCAGTTGAAAACAGTGACCTGAGAATCTATATGCTGAGCATCCTTCTCCCATCTGCCCGAAGTATAGGCACCCAGGATCACCAGGACCAAAGGTGATGTTACTAGGGCTTTGAAATTACGTGCGTTTAGCTCTACAAAAGCCTATACCTCCGTCTTGCTCTCTTTTTTTTTTTTTTTTGGTGGTACTGGAGTTTGAACTCAGGGCCTCACACTTGCTAGGCAAGTGCTCTACCTCTTGAGCCACTCCACAGTCCCTTGCTCACTCTTAAGTGTATCTTAGACTCACTCTATTTTCATTTTTGGAAAGAGGCCTCTGAGTCCATTGTTGCCTATAGCAAGATTGATCTAACAAAATTTCCTCCTCTTCTGCACTCATTGTCCTGTTCTGGACCAATTTGAATCTTCCCTCTGTTCTCCTGATCTGGATTTAGGGAAGCTCTGAGGAATCGCTCTTGGAGGGCAGTAGCTTTTGTGTTGTCTAACTGAATTTCCTTCCAAGAGTCCCTCCATAGAGTTCTTAGTTATGATTCTGTGTCTCCATGTTCTTTAGAAGTTCTAGACCCATGCACTGGGCACACAACTGTAATCCCAGCATACAGGAGGATCATCAGTTCAAGGCCATCCTTGTCTACATAATGAGACACTGTCTCAAACAAACAAGCAAAAAAACCAAAAAAAACCCAAACCAATAAAACTCCCATGAATCCTAATCTGATTGCTTTTTGCTTTCTTATAGCCCCTCCAGTTCTTGCTGTGTGTGTATGATAGTGGGGTAGAAGAGGGCTGTCAAATCTTTTGGAAGAGTCACAAATAACTAATGTAACTCTAATTCATTTCCCTTAAAAAATAATATATATATGTACAAGCACACACATGCACAGAAACACTGTTTACTAGCTTTTGGGTGGTTAAATTCAACTAGTTTTTGGTAGTTTTTTTTTTTAAATATATACAATACTAGAGTTTGAACTCAGGGGACTTGTGCTTGATAGACAGGCGCTCTATTAATTGATCAAGCCTCCAGCCTTTTTTTGCTTGAAATAGATTGTTTTCAGATTGCCCAGGATTGACCTTGGACTGTGATCCTATTATCTGGATCATAGCTGGGATCACAGATGAGCCAGTGTGTCAACTTACTGGTTAAGATGGGGTCATGCCAATTTTTTCACCCCAGGTGGCCTTGAACTGTGATCCTCCTGCTGGCCATCTCCTGAGCAGCTGAGATTATACGCATGTACCACCACAACTGGCCTCAACTAGCATTTAATGATTACTACCATGTGACAGGGACTGTTTTACTAAATCCTTTCATACACATGAAAGTATTTCTTTTACACAGCAACAGTGAGAGGTAAGTATTTTTTCCCAGTTTGTAGTTGAGGAAACTGAAACTCAGAAGATATGTGACTTGCATAAGTTTACACATTCCAGCACATTTGCCATCAAGCCCAGGGTTCTTTCCACTGTACTTAAGCTGCCACAGTACTGGGGAAAGAGTATGATGTCATGAAGCCAAACAAGCAAGGAAATGGCACAGCTTCTGAAGTTCTAATAATGGTTATTTTAGATTTGTTTTCTTCTAAGCAAAGCCTGGTATGGTATTTGGTGGCCCTTATTTCTTAGGAGCTTTGAGTCTAAAAGGGAAGGTAAGAAAGTATTTGTCACTGGAAAAACATATCAAGGCTTTAATACTAAATAAAAGTGAGATGCCTAGGACCTGTGTATGGAGTGTAAGGAAATGCAGTTTAAAGAGGAAAAGAAAAAAGTTATGGCAAACATTTGAAGGGAGATACAGGAAGAACAAGAAGATAGAAATGTATTTAAAGAGTTAAACACAGTTTACCTGGGTTATTTGTTAGCCTGTAAAACAACACATACAAAGCAACATTTTGTAAGTACAAGCTAAGAAGTGAGGCTAAGCTGACCAAGTGCAAAAGGAATGAAGAGTAATGTGATGAGAAGTGGAGGTAGTAAGAGAAAACTTCTTGGGAGATTACTTTTCTTCTGATTTTGAAGGAGTCCAGGAAGACAGAAAAAGGAGGTACCTGGTAAGGTTTCATGGTGAAGGGAAGACCTAAGGATGACACCACTAACCAGTGCCTGTATGTCCCCTTTTCTGTTTCTTTCTCCCTCTTTTCTCCTATAGCTTGGAAGCTCAAAGTCTGGCTGTAGCCATGGGAGACATGGTGGTGGAGCCTGCCCCCCTGAAGCCAACTTCTGAGCCTACTCCTGGCCCACCAGGGAATAATGGGGGCTCCTTACTAAGTGTTATCACGGAGGGGGTTGGGGAACTATCAGTGATTGACCCTGAGGTGGCCCAGAAGGCCTGCCAGGAGGTGCTGGAGAAAGTCAAGCTTTTGCATGGAGGTGTGGCCATCTCTAGCAGAGGCACCCCACTGGAGCTCGTCAATGGGGATGGTGTGGACAGTGAGATCCGTTGTCTAGATGATCCACCTGCCCAGATCAGGGAGGAGGAAGATGAGATGGGGGCAACTGTGGCCTCAGGCACAGCCAAAGGAGCAAGAAGGCGTCGGCAGAACAACTCCGCCAAACAGTCTTGGCTGCTGAGGCTGTTTGAGTCAAAACTATTTGACATCTCTATGGCTATTTCATATTTGTATAACTCCAAGGAGCCTGGCGTGCAAGCCTACATTGGCAACCGGCTCTTCTGCTTTCGCAATGAAGATGTGGACTTCTATCTGCCCCAGTTGCTTAACATGTACATTCACATGGATGAGGACGTGGGTGATGCCATTAAGCCCTACATAGTTCACCGTTGCCGCCAGAGCATTAACTTTTCCCTCCAGTGTGCCCTGTTGCTTGGGGCCTACTCTTCAGACATGCACATTTCCACTCAACGACACTCCCGTGGGACCAAGTTACGGAAGCTGATCCTCTCAGATGAGCTAAAGCCAGCTCACCGAAAGAGGGAGCTGCCCTCCTTGAGCCCAGCCCCTGACACAGGGCTGTCTCCCTCTAAAAGGACTCACCAGCGCTCTAAGTCCGATGCCACTGCCAGCATAAGTCTCAGCAGCAACCTGAAACGAACAGCCAGCAACCCTAAAGTGGAGAATGAAGATGAGGTAAAATTTTGGGGTGGGAGAAATGCAGATTGCTGCATGGAGACTGGATGTCTTACACAGGGTTACTCTGTCCTTCCGCTTTGTTTTCATTTCACTGATAAAAGCTTGGAATGTTAAAATAGAAAAAGACCTTAGAATTCATGTATTCAAACTGCCTCATTTTACAGGGGAAGAATTCAGAGACCAGGAGAGAGATAGTGACTTTTCTCAGGTCATGTAGCTAATGGCAAAGGCTGATGCTTCTGACTCTGTCCAGAGTTGTTTTCATTAAACTGCACTGTCATTCCATTAACTGCATTCTTAGAACTAGCAGAGACTCTCTCCAGCCTGACTTGAGACCTGGGATAGCTATTAGAGCCTGTCAAAGCAGCAATCATAGGAAAGAAAAAGGGACTGTGATTTTTGTGTGTGATGGGGGAGGGAAGATGTTAAGTAGAATATCAGCTTCATTTTCCTTGCCACTCCTCTTCATAATCCCTCTCCCTCACCCTTACAGCCTAGTTTTTGTTAACATTAGAGTAAGGTTCATTCCCTATCACTGAGGCATCTGCAGAATGTTAACTGCCTGCCTTCATTTGGGAGAGGCACAGAGGAAAGAGAGAAGCAGTACTGGCAGGGTAAATCTACTGTGTAGTCAAGGACCTGAAGCTGAGAAGAGGAAGCCACAGCAGTAGTTGGGGGTATCTAATGTAATATTGAGAGCAGGGAAGAAATGGACACATCTGTAGGTTATAGCCACCCTCTATTGCACATCTAGACAGATAGCAGGGAAAACTGCCCAATGGACAACCGAGTTCAGTGACCTGGTGTCCCAGCCAGACAATAGTACCCCAGTCCTTCTCTCTGATTCACATTGGCCAGGCTCCCATCTTGGCTGCCAGCCCAACCTAGAAAAGAAGGGAGGAAAAAAATGAGGAATTTGCACTTTTGGAAAATGCACATGGCTGTGGTCCTGGCCTCTGCCTCTGTAGGACATAACCTACTCACATTTTTGATACAATGAGATTTCTTTCAAGTAGAGGGAGGTCAGAGTGACTAGGGAAGGGAAAAGCAGGGGGGAAAGCAGACTATAGAGCCTGTTCTCCCTGGAAATTTATTTTATTGGGATAATTTAATGGTAAAGCCAAAAGAACATTTATCGAGCACTTATGTGCCAGGCATCACATCAACTGCTTTACACTTAATCTGCACAACAGCTGTAACAGATATTTTACCAGTGAGGTAACTGAGGCTTAGAGAGGTTAAATGATTTTCCCAATGTCTCTCAACTGGTGAATATCAGACTAGAACCCACATCCACAGCTGTGCTCATGATCATTCACCTGAGCTGCCTTGGTTATTTCTCAGCATCTACTTCCCCACATCCCAGCTATCAGAGGCCATCTGGGGAAGGCCCAGTCTGTGGTCATCTACATGTCCACATCTGTACACAGACAAAGCCCAAGGTGTTCTGAGAACCAGAGTGAATCATTTTCATTTCTATTTAAGTTTAGCAGCAGAGTCCAGGGTTCATTAAGGAAGATTGTTGCAGAACAAGAAGAATACTGTGGATTCTGGTGGAACTAATATCATGAAGTATTTGAGAGCTGCCTCATCTAAGGTCAAGCCTGTGATAGAATAAATGTGGGCAGCTGAAAGTGAATTTCTTGGTGCCTCTTGTTAGGCTTGGCTTTTATCTATATCCAGACCTTTGGGCTTCTCTTACCCTGTGCTGGTCTGAGGTCCCTCTTCTTTGCATCTAACTTCTCCAGGATTATGAATGGCTTTTGAGAGACAGATATTCTCTGAGGGTCTAAATCTCTAGGATGGGTTCTCCAGCTACCATTCTTCCCAACCTGGCTCCTTATCTTGGGCTACTAGATCCAGGAAAGGAAGAAGATAGCAAGTCCCCAGGCCCTCCTGGATTATCTGATGCTGGCAGAACAAGACACGTGAATCCACTGCGGCTCCTCAGGAAATGTGAGAGCAAGGAAGAGAGAAGCAGCACATAAATATTAATATTACTCGGTTTCTAACCATTGGAGTCTTCACAGGGTCTCTCCCAACCCCTTTGGCATTTTCAGGATGTATCTCTCAAGGCCTTTATTCTCTATAAATACCAAGGGAACTGGTTTTCCTTCTTTTCTCTTCTCCTCCCCTGTCATGTAACATTCATTCAACAACTAGTTCCTGTTCTAAAGACTGCAAAGGATGGAGGATAGAATGCTATTTTTTCCCTCTAGGAACTGATAATGTAATTTGAAAACCCCAATATCTAGGGAACTGATTAGTTTGTGACTCTCTTGAAAAGTTGTTTCCTGCACATAACCAGGAAGTATACGTCTTATGAAAATGAAGCCCAGGATTTTCTAAAGCCTGAGCAAGGACATTCTAAAAGAATTTCCAGGTGGGCACTGATACTGTGTTCTCAGTCTCAGCTTTCTTTTTGGGTTCTGAGTTTAATCCCATGTTTCTACCACAATAGAAGTGTTCCAGAAAATGAGAGGGGACCTCAGGTTGAGGCCCAGGGGCTGCTCCTCTTCTCTTCTTGCCTGGAGTCTCCCTATAGAGCTTTTCTCTACAGAGATCTCATAGAAGATTCCTTTTTTGTTTTGTTTTGTTTTGTTTTTAGCACAGAATCCTTTACACTCCCTCCAAGTCAGAGTGCAGTAGTACTGATTTCTCCCATCTCCCACCACTCCTTCCAACTTGCCCCTTCAAAGCAGTTTATATCAGCTTCTTCAGGAATCCCTGCTTAGGCCGTTTCCCTTCCTGTATGTAACCAAATGATAAATATTTTAGTATAGCAGGGAGTGCAGGGAGTGATTTAGGTACCACTTTCCACCCTGTCACACATAATGACAATAGATCAGTTTTGTCTTTTCAGGACTGCAACCTTTGTACAGAGAAATCTGTTGCATGTCACGCTGGAAGCCTAGTGGGATATCTAGCCTGATACAGTATGATGTCAGTTTCTTGGCCTCAGTTTTACTCCCTGGAGCTGACTCAGTATGAGTGACTCAAGCCCAGGGAGTAGGAAGAGAACACCAGGTCATGGTATACCTCCCTCCCCACAAGGCTGTTAATGAGTCCACTGGGATCTGTATGAGAGAACCAGCTGGAGCACTGCTCATGAAGCGAATGTCCTGCCTGCTGTTCCTTCCCCAACCAGCTTAAGTATAGAAATTGAGTTGTAATAGATTCTGGCATCTTCACTGCCTCAATTCCCTCTCCTACTTCTACCCAAAGTGGAAGAGTCGTTGCCTTAGGGGAGTGTTTCCAAGTGTGGCTTCTCCCTCCAAGTGCTCTTTTGCCCAGATTCTTTAAGGAAAAACCCAGAATCTCCAGCTAGAGTAGAATTTATAGCATGGAATTGAATTAAGTTGATGCTTGAAATGTGATTGTAGAGTAAAACCTCCATGCCCACTGCCCTCCTGCTCTGGTAGCTCTCAGGACTTTGCCTCTTAAGTCCAGGCCCCTCCCTTCCTGCAGTTTGTATACATGTACTGCCCCTGCTGCCTGCCCTGGTAGACCTTGTTGGGCAGAACCCAGCATGGTCCTGTGCATGAGTGCTTCTACAGAGCTACTGAATGAGAGTTCAGCCACCATCCCTATCCTCTGTTTTGTTCACAGACACTTGTAAGACACAGGAATGGAATTATTTCCATGGGCTGGGACTAGGACAGCCACTGCTCAGCTAATCAGCTTTCTTCAATGGATTTAGGAACAACCTAACTGCAAAACTTAAATTTAAAAAAAAATTGCAATGTATTCAGTGTCATGTGAAATAGCCTGACAAGAAGCCTAAGGAAGGTTTGATAGATACGAGATTGATTTATCTTTACTCCCAGCCTCCATCCCAGAAGTTGCAGGTTCATAGGTCTGGGATGCCCTTTGTCACACAGGTTCCATGTTGGGATTAGATTTTTCCAGGTTGACCATGAGGCTGATCAGAAGGGAGGTACATATACTTGATATGGAAAGTTTAGTTCTTCCTGAGATTTCCAAAATGCTGAAGGAACGTGGGGTTTCTAATACAGGGATCATGCAGTTTATTGAATCCAGTCTCTTTGTGGTGGTCCCCACAGAGAAGGAGTTGATTGGGAGCATGTGAGTAGGTGAAAAGAAAGAACAGACAAACTTGTCAGTACAATTATTGCCCTAGGGACACAGCTTTAGAGTTTCAACCTAAAAGTAAGATTCATTCAGGCAAGAACTGACAGGAATAAAGCAAAAAGTAGAGGCTGCCTTGTCTTTTTCAGCCCTTCTGACCTCAAGGTCTGAGCTGGCCTTCGCATCCCACAAATGTCTAGAATCTAGGCAAGTGGCATTTCTGGGTTGACTTTCACTAAAAGCAGAAAGATAGAACTGCAGAAGAGAAGCAGTTATGATCCAATTTGTAGCTAAATTCTTTGCCTTTGTTTCTCTCCCTTCCCTCCCTGCCCCCTCTTCCTCCCTTTGCCCTCTGGCCCTTTCCCAGGAGCTCTCCTCCAGCACCGAGAGTATTGATAATTCATTCAGTTCCGTAAGTGGGGCCAGGCTGGGACTGGGTGGCAGGCTCCCCCCATGGCCGCATTTCCTCTCCGTCCCAGGTCTTCTGAGCCCCCAGGCCAAGGCTGGAGTTCAAAGGCCCCTTAATTCCTGGAAGATCAACTTCTCCCTTCCATGCCTTCCAGACCTGGAGGTGGCCCCCTGAACTTTGCTGCTGACACTCTGAGCCCAGGCATAGACAAGTTTAGTTGATCCTTCTCAGAGATAGTTGAGATGCTGTGCTTCTTATCCCTGGCTCCTGGGTCTCTGGAACTAATAGCTGGGAGAGAGGTAGAATTTCTCCTGGGTTAGAGCCAAGAACTGCTTGGCAGAAACCCCCAGTATCCCATTTTCTCCCACCTAGAACCCTTTCCCAATGGCTTCTGCTGTCAGACCATCAAATATTTATTCAGTCTTCTAAATAGTAGGCCCTGTGCTGGATGAGCCAACAACAAAAGCAAACAGGACGTGGTCTGAAGGAAAGTTTTACCTCTCCACAACTGGTTTTCCTTTTTTAACTTCAACCCTGTTTCTTTCAGGTCTGAATTCTTCCCTTTTCCCAGCTCACTGCCCAGGATGTTCCTTAATCCCCATTCTCCTTTCTTATTCCCTCTGGACTAACCCCTGACCCTCTGGTCCTACAGGGTCTTGGACTTTGTTGCTGGGTAAAGACGTGAGAGGAAATGCTGGACCCTCTGGGAGTTTGGATGATTTTTTTTCTTACATTTTATTTTTTATTTGTCTATTCAATCAGTTTTCTATGTTCTGTGCTGATCCCCTTTCAATCATGATTTCTATCTCCTCCCAAGTGGCCAAGTCTCTCTGGAGGCCTGAGGTCACATTTCCAACATACTTGTATAACTTGGGGGAGGGTCATATTTCTAATGTGCTCATGTAACTTAGAGGTCCCCAACTGAAATGCTGATTTGAGGACTGGAAGGAATTCTGCCTTTTCCAATATAAGATGACTATGAATTGGTTGGGGTGGAGGTTCCTTGGGATGGTGACCATTTGCCACCTGAGTGGATGGAATAGGGGATCAAGATAAAGAAACAAGTCTTCAAATTTCCTTCTCTCTCTCTCTCTCTCTCTCTCTCTGTCTCTCCCAGGCCTTCATTCTTTTCATTCTCTGTTAGGCCCCCAGGATATTTTCAGGGATCATACAGAAGTCCAATTCTATTTTCTTCCTTTTTTCTTTATCTCTTTCGACCCTGTCCCCTAAATCATTCCTAACTGATTCTAATACCTTGTTTCATAACTGCAAGGTTCTCTAAGCCAACCTACCTCCTCCTGTTATGGAGTAGAGGCTAACAGATGAGCTGTTCCTTTCTTTGTATCCTGGCTCAGTCCCACATGTACAGGTGGGCATGGTATTGCCCAGTTCTCAATTAATAAGCTCTTTTTTTGCAGTATGAGGGAGTCAGGGTAGAAATTCTCAATCAGGAAACTAAGCAAGATACACTCAGAAAGGGAGAGAAAAGCCTGGTGAGTGAAATGCTATTCCCATATGAGAAGGAGGTATTGTTCTTATCTGAGGGGAGATAGGTTGGGGAGTAGGTGGCTCTCTTGATAAAATGTCCCTTATGGTATAAGGGTTAGACTAGGAACAAAGCCCTTCTTCATGTCTAGTTGAGTCCATTTTTTCCCTATCCCACCTTATGTCCCAGATTAACTTTGCCTTTTCTGGGGATGACTGAAATGCCCAGCATGAGAAGCCAAGCTCACAACAGGGAGCTAATGTGGGGATCCTAGTCTCTGAGAGGACCCAAGGAAGAAATGCTAGAGACAGGCCTTCAGGGCCATCAAGGATTAAAAAGAGCTAGCTCATCCCTTTTTCCCTTCATCTTCTTTTTCTTTTCCCATTGATTGGTCCCCTACTAATGCAGAGTTTCTCATTCTCTTATCCTGTGCATGTGCATTGAGAATTTAAGAGAATGGGGATAGATGGAGGATGCCATAGAAAGCAGCAATAGTCATTTGGGTGAAGAGCATTTTTCTTCATTAGAAGGGGAAATACTGACTCAGAGCTCCCTTCCCTAGCCTGAGGGCCCTAGCAGAGCCCCTCAGCAGAAATGCAGCCCGAGGACCCAGATAGGGAAAGGGACAACCCTGTTGAGATGAGTGAAGCACTTCAGGTGTAAGCAGCTCTTTTCTCTGGGGCCCTAGCTTACCTCTCCAGAAGTTGTTCCCTTGCCTGTCTTAAAGCCTTGAGACAGTTCCTGAGGAACTCAAGTCTAAAAGAAGAGGGGTGCATTTCAGTAACATGAACTCATGGCCCCCTTGAGTGCCCAAGAAATAGCCTGCAGGAAAGTAACATGCTTGCTGTTCTCAATTCAAGCTGAGAGTGGTGGGGTGGTATAGCTCCTTTCCTAGAATTCTGGATACTGGGAGCTCTGATCTACATGGCTAGGAGTCATTGAGGGGTAGGTCACTGTTTTCAATGGTTTCTTCACTATCTTTTGTTTCATCCCAACCCCCTGTAGCCTGTCCGGCTGGCCCCTGAGCGAGAATTCATCAAATCCCTGATGGCGATTGGCAAACGGCTGGCCACACTCCCCACCAAAGAGCAGAAAACACAGCGGCTGATTTCAGAGCTCTCCCTGCTCAACCATAAGCTCCCTGCCCGAGTCTGGCTGCCCACTGCTGGCTTTGACCACCACGTGGTCCGTGTGCCCCACACACAGGCTGTTGTCCTCAACTCCAAGGACAAGGTAGGTGGGTTCTGGTCTAAACCCTACCACTGATATGACTAGTCCCATGAGTGCCCACAGTTTAGGTATAAGCCTACCAACATCCTAGACATTCTTCATAGTTCATGGTGTATATGTCAATCATGACTGTATTTCAGTGCTCTTGTGATGCTGACAGCCCTCCTGCCCCTCTTCTTCAGCTTTGCTTTTCTGAACCAAAAGAGACCTAATCTTTATAGTTTACCTCTTACTGTATCTTAGGAGAATGGCTCTCCACCCGCTCCTTACTCTTATTTTGGTAGCTTTCCCTCGATCTTTCATATAACTCTCAGGCTGTCCAGGGATAGCAACCACGAGGGTAAAGAAATATTTTGGGAGCTGGGTGCCAGTGACTCATGCCTATAATCCTAGCTACTCAGGAGGCAGAGATCAGGAGGATCACAGTTCAAAGCCAGCCCAGGTAAATGGTTTGTGAGACCCTATCTTGAAAAAAATCCATCACAAAAAAAGGACTGGTGGAGTGGCTCAAGGTGTAGACCCTGAGCTCAAGCCCCAGTACCACAAAAAAAAAAAAAAAAAAAAGAAAGAAATATTTTGGGGCTGAACATGGCTCAATTGGTAGAGTACTTGCCTAGAAACCAAGAGTCCCCGAGTTGAGTTCAAACCCCAGTACCACCAAAAAAAAAAAGAAGAAGAAAGCAAATATTTTGATTCTAAGACCTTTTCTGATCAGAGTTGGCTGAGAGAAGAGAAGGATGCCCAATTCACACTGGAGAGAATTAGCTATATTTTTCTACTGATTGGAATGAGTACTTGGTTCAGATTCTTCTTTCAGAGGAAGTATTGAAGGTTAGAATCCTCCTTGGAACAGTGCCCAGGTTTGTCCAGTTTTTTTTGTCTCCAGCAGTTCCCAGGGTCTTGTCTTTAGGACAGGCCCACAGAGGCTTTTAGGCCTCTCTTACAAGTTAGAATAGCTTTGCCCAATTATATCATACATGTAATTTGAAGCCCAGCTGAAACATTTGGAAGACTTGTGCACTTTCTCACCAAAATACTTTTTGAAGGTGATCACATGACAAATTCCTGCCTTAAATGTGGTTTTCATAGTAGTAAAGGACTGAGGGATGAGGATTGGAGCTAGGAGCAGGCAGCATTCTGAATTCTGTTAACACAGAATTCAGATTTGGGAGATAGTGGAGGTAAATTGTAAATACTGTTTTCACTCCCTCCACAAGGCTCCTTACCTGATCTACGTGGAAGTCCTTGAATGTGAAAACTTCGACACTACCAGTGTCCCTGCCCGGATCCCTGAGAACCGAATTCGGAGCACACGATCGGTAGAGAATCTGCCTGAATGTGGTATCACGCATGAGCAGCGGGCTGGCAGCTTCAGCACTGTGCCCAACTATGACAATGATGATGAAGCCTGGTCCGTGGATGACATAGGCGAGCTGCAGGTGGAGGTGAGGCAGCTCCAAGGAGGTAATACTGAGCCATAATACCTGTTCTCCAGGATCTTTTGATACTTTTGAAACAAGATAACCCATCTCCTGGCAGGGGGAGGCAAGCACCCAAATGAGTGGTGTAGGTAGAAAGGATATGAGAAGAAAAAGCTGTGAGCAGCTGGTCTGGAATAGGTTCAGGTGGAGCTTGTTCTCCTGTAGAAGGAATTCAGGTTAAATGTAAGGAGGAACTTGTAGACCTAGAGGAACGAGGGAAATTTAATGAAATATTTGTTGAACACCTGTTATATAAGGTTATTTCAGGATAGCAGAGACTGACAAGCCATGTATTCTTTCGTTCAAGAAATATTTATGAAATTGGACATGGTGGTGCACCCCTGTAATCCCAGCACTCATGCGTGGGTGCTGAGTGCCATATGCTAGTGAACAAGATTTGCTCCCTACCCGCAAGGAGTTCATTACCTAGTAGGAGAGGAAACAAGACCTGTAATGCAGGTAGTTGTAGTATGATGTGATTTAGGTTTGGTAGAGAGCATGGAGCATTATGGGATCACCAAAGGGTAGGGGTAGTACTTACTTCAAACTTGGGCAGGGAGGAATCCAAAGATTTCCTGGAGGAAGTAAGCTCTCATTGAGGCCTGAAGCATGGTAGGAATTAACTGGACAAAGAATATTAGGGCAGAGGAAGTGTGTACAATGACTGGAAGATAAGATGGAGGTTGGCACATGATAGGAACCGAAAGAAAATCTGTGTGGCTATGGGTGTGAGGTAAGAAACAGTAAAGAATGAAGCTGGAGAGGTTGGCATGGGCCAGATTGTAGGAAGGATTGTGTCAGCTGTAAAAAGAAACTTAAATTTTCTGGATTATAGGGAGCCAGAGCAGGATTTTTTGTAAAGCTATTCAGTAAAAAGATAGAATGTCTGTCTGAGTTTACAGTCCATTTGGGGAGATTAGGCATAGATATTTAAGAAGAAAAAATTACAGAAGATATACAAGGTAGCATGCACTGAGTGACAGTGGAATTTATAGAGGAAGGTGACAGGGACTTGATATGGGCTTTGGGGTTTGGTGGAATATTTTCTAGTTGGAGTAATTTAGATTGCAGAAATGGTCAAAGAACTACTCCGGAAGGATTGTTTCTAAACCTCAGGAAGAATTTATCTGTACCCTTGGGGGACTTCAGTATGAGGCCGAAAAGTCAGATTTTTATGATGGCATGGCAGGGGGTTGTAAACCAGTGTATTGAGAGTCTTCTGGAGAACTTGTTAAAAATTTAGACTTCTAGTTTTCATTCCCAGTAATTCTAATTCAGATCAATGGTGGGGCCTGGGAATCTGCATTTCAGCAAGCAGCTCTGTAATTCTGATGCAGGTAGTTCACACTTTGAGAAACACTGCTATGAGATCTATAAGTATGCCTAGGTAGTTGAGGTCCAAATAATAGGGATGATGTGGAGCCAAGGGAGGCTTTTTGGAGCAGTCTAGAAGGAAGGGGTAAACATGCCACAGCAACGGCAAGCAAGCAGATGAGAGAGGGAGCTCTGTGCTTAGCACCTCTGACCAGCACTCCCCTGCTCTCCCCAGCTCCCTGAAGTGCACACCAACAGCTGTGACAACATCTCCCAGTTCTCCGTGGACAGCATCACCAGCCAGGAGAGCAAGGAGCCTGTGTTCATTGCAGCAGGGGACATCCGGTATGGCCAGATCATGTTGTCCCTCATTTTTATCCCTCTTTCAGACACCGCTTTGTCCCCTTTCGTTCTTTCTTAATTACCTGCTGTCTTTCCCTTTTCCCTATATATTCTGTCCTTATCCTGAGGCCACCAAAACTGAGACAATGAAGGTGAGGTTAATACATTGCTTGAGCTAATGTAGAAAAAAATGAAATTTTAAGAAGACTCCAAAGGGGTGAAAGCACCCAAGGAAGGAATTTAAGCAGTGTTTCTCAAAGTGGAGGGTTGGGGATGTGGCACAGTGGTAGAGTGCTTGCCCAGCATGTGCAAGACCCTGAATTTAATTGCTAGTGCCACAAAAAAAAAAAGTGAGGTTCCAAAGTGATGTGCCCCAGAATTAGTGGAGAGAAAGGAAACTTTGTTGGACATGCAGATTCTGGAGTCACACCCATTCTGAGTCAGTCTTGGGGTAGAGGAATGGAGAATACCAGGTACTCTGCATTTTAGCATGATCACAAAATACCAGGTTAGCAAAATGGTGCTGTGCTGTTGGTTATGCTTTCTTCCATAAATATCTCTTGGCATAAATTCCTGCCTCTGAGCCCAGAATCCAGGAAAAGTGCACAAAATGCCAGCATAGACAGGGCATAAGCCTCTGGGGTAACTCCTCCAAGCAAATTTTGTATTTTTTTCCTGCTAGACGGCGCCTTTCCGAACAGCTGGCTCACACCCCCACAGCCTTCAAACGAGACCCAGAAGACCCCTCTGCAGTTGCTCTCAAAGAGCCCTGGCAGGAAAAAGTACGGTGAGTGGGTGAGTGGTGGAGGAGGTGGTCTTTGCATACCTCTCAAAGTTCCAAGGCATTTTCAGGTGCTCACTGCACCATCTTTACTGTTCCTCAGCTTCCAACAGCTCCATCAGGCTTCCAGGCAACCTGAGTCCTCACCCTGGCATCACCCTTTACCTCTTTCTTCACAGGCGGATCAGAGAAGGCTCTCCCTATGGCCATCTCCCCAATTGGCGGCTTCTGTCAGTCATTGTCAAGTGTGGGGATGACCTTAGGCAGGAGCTGCTGGCCTTCCAGGTGTTGAAGCAACTGCAGGTAAGGAAAAGGAAGCCCACCTGAGTGACCACATAGGTTATTCTGCAGAGAGCTCTGCTGGGGACCAGCATCCTGCCCAGGTCTCAATTGGAAGTAGATTAAACTAAAGCTTGCTGCCTTTCTCCTGGAAAGTTAGTCCCTGGGAGGTGCAGCCACAGGAACAGCTCCACTGCGACCTCTGTGGACTCTTTTGTGAACTGCACTTGCCTTATTCTGATCACTGAACTGACAGCTGAAGTTGTCTTTGAAATCAGAATTTCCCAAATGGTCTGTGGTGGGTGGCTTACAGCATGCTGAGATATTGATCCCCTGATTCCCTTGGGTTGGTCACCTACAAGCATCTTCACTTGTTTAATCCAGTTCTTTATATTATTTTTTATTATTATTATTATCTCACTATGTAACCAGGCAGGAATGAGATCCTCTTGTCTCAGCCTACCAAGTGCTGGAATCATAGGCTTGTGCCCCTAGCTTAAATATTTTTCATTTTTACGAAAGTTTCTCTGAGCCTAAATCATTTGCTATCTTTTTTTTGGCAATAGAATCTAACTGTATAGCACAGCTTTTCTCACACTCACTATCTCCTGCCTCTGCTTCCCAAGTGGTGGGATTGCAGGTGTGCACTATTATGCCTGGCTCTTCTCCTTTTTATTATTTTAACTCCCTGCTTGTAAAGTATTAGTGAGGTTTCCGGTTCCTTCTGCCTTTCTTGGACTTTCTTTCTATATGATACCTTTTCCCACATACCTCTAAGTGTAGTTTCCTGTCTTTGTTAGGCCCTGGTCTTCCTTTCAAAGCTTCCTGAACCTCAGTAGATCACTCAGTTGATGATCTAGAATCCAAGGCCACCAAGGAGAGAAGCTGGGGAAAAGCAGGGAGTTTTCGCCTTCTCGGTAACTCTGTGTCTCCTCACAGTCCATTTGGGAACAGGAGCGAGTGCCACTTTGGATCAAGCCATACAAGATTCTTGTGATTTCGGCAGACAGTGGCATGATTGAACCAGTGGTCAATGCTGTGTCCATCCACCAGGTGAAGAAACAGTCCCAGCTCTCCTTGCTCGATTACTTCCTACAGGAGCATGGAAGTTATACCACTGAGGCATTCCTTAGTGCCCAGCGCAATTTTGTGCAAAGTTGTGCTGGCTATTGTTTGGTCTGCTACCTGCTGCAAGTCAAGGACAGGTAAGTAACTTCTCATTTCATCCCAATCTTTTGCCACTCTGTCCCTTTATGTGTAGTTCTCAATTTATGAAACAAAGAACATATTTTGTGGAGAGACATATGTATTTATATGTCATTAAACCAAGAAGGCAGATTGACAAGTGCTAGAGTAAAAGAGTAAAGAAATGAAGGACTTACAGGAGGAATAAGGATTTGAGAGAGCAGGGACTGAAAGGACAAGAGAGAATGAGAACAGATAAAACTGTAGGGGAAATATATTCCAGGTGAGGAAATATTTCAATAGGATTAAAACTTGAGCTGCTGACTGTAGCAGGTAGTGAATCAGACAGGTAAGTTGAGGGTAAATTAGAAGGGTCTTTATTGTGAGGCTGAAGAGTTTTATTTTGCAGGTAGAGGAATGATGTGGCCTAGGCTGTTTAAATACCTTATGGTACTGTGAGTGAGGGTGAATGTAACTGGGCCTTTAGCAACAAAGTGAGTTTGTGGCACCTGGCACAAAAATAGTGGCAACAGCTGTGAGCAGAAAGAAAATGGATGGATAGGAGGAGCATGGCAAGATAAAGTTGAAATTCCCAGCCGTGAACTATTATCACTCCAATGAATAATTTCCCCAACTTTTTTTTTTTGTGTGTGTGGGACAAGGATTTGAACTTAGAGCTTTGCCTTTGCAAAGCAGGCGCTCTACTGCTTGAACCACACCTCCAGTTCGTTTTTCCCTCTTGTTAGTTTGGAGATAGGGTCTCACAAACTATTTGCCTGAGCTGGCCTTGAACTACAATCCTCCTGATCTCAGCCTCCCAAATAACTAGGATTACAGGCATGTGCTACCAGCACCCAGCTGATTTCCCCAACTTTTAAGTATCTGTTGTTTTGCCCAGACTCTCATTTCTTTCAATATCACATGACCTTTTTTAGGCCTAACTATACATACAGGTGAAGGATATATTATACATAATTACATCCCCTTGGCCCTACATTCTAAGAGTACCTCTAGACAGTACTCTTGAGTTCTGTGCCCTGAATGTTCCTGTGGCTTGCACCTCTCCCTGGCCGTAGACACAGAAATGCAGTGACCTTTGCTGCTATGAGTCCCAGTGACATAGTGATCCATTAAGATTGGCTAACAGAGCAGTTTATCAGCAATCTAGCAATGATATTTAAACCAAATGAAAACCCTGTCAGATAAGTGTTTCCGCATGAGAGAAATAAGGGTCAAGTAGCTTTTAGAATATGAGCTCATTCCACCCTACCAGCCCTACAAATGAACTAGCATAGACTCTGCATTTAAGAGTTGTAGGAGAATGTAATTATAAGCTTGGTTGGGAGCTTTAAACTGACCCTGAAGGACTGGCATTTTGAACCCAGGGCCTGAAGAGCCTAGGGTTACTCAACCCCAGGGTTTAGTAAATGGTGGCAGGAAAACTGGTTCTTGGGTTTTCCTTTAGGAAACTGATGTATTTGGAAGATGAGAGACTAACCTTTGTGGGGAGGAGCAGACAACTGATAAACTTAGTAACGTTAAAAAGAATAGATGTAGGTCTGCTCTTAGTTGGGGTCTATCCCATACCTCTGGCAGGAAGATGGAGGCCACAAAGAAGGTAAAAAAATTTGTTGGAGTCAGTCAACTCTAGGCCCTAACTTGTTCTGAAAAGTATGTGCTGGAGTACAAGTGGACTCTAAGTTGGACTCAGACAAGAAGCAAAACTGGTCGCCCTTGCTAACAACTTCCCAGTTTGATCAAATATAAAATAGAGTACTGTGCCATGTTAGCCAAAACTGGTGCCCATCACTACAGTGGCAATAATATCAAATTGGGCACAGTGTGCAGAAAATACTACAGAGTGTGCACATTGGCTATCGTCACTCTGGGTAGTTCTGACATCGATACACACATGCCAGAAAGGAGACTTGTGAGCCATATCCCCAGCTCCTTGATTTTTGTTTTTTTTTAAAAAGTAAAAGGTAAGGGCTGATGGAGTAGCTCACGTGTAGAATGCCTGCCTACCAAGCGTGAGTTTCTGAGTTCAAACCCCAGTACCATCAAACAAAACAAATCCCAAATGTTGGCCAGGCACTGGTGGCTCACACCTGTAATCCTAGCTACTCAGGAGGCAGAGATCAGGAGGATCATGGTTCAAAGCCAGCCTGGGCAAATAGTTCGTAAGACCCTGTCTAGAAAAAAAACCCATCACAAAAAAGGGCTGGGGGAGTGGCTCAAGGTGTAGGTCCTGAGTTCAAGCCCCAGTACCACACAAAAAAAGAAAAGGTACAGTCAAGCCATGAAAGGAATCAGCCACTGGAAAGAAGTGGCTACAACGAATGGGCCCCAATCCTGAAGGTTTTACCCTCTCTACTTCAAAATGAGCCCCAAACAGCTTTCTAGGTGAAGCTAACTCTAGTTAACTAGCCTTGGAATCTGGGGGGTGAAATTCACTTATTCTCCCACCTCACCTGTAAAATGAGAGGGTGAACTAAGAAATCTAGAAACTTTCTGGCTCTCAAGATTGTATGGGTACTGTTAAATCTTTAGTGCTCTCCTAGAGGGGGAAGACTCAGGTGGGACTTCTGCTCCTCCTCTTTTGGCCAGATTAACTGAAGAAGGTGGCCTTATGACTCAGCCTAACAAAGACTCTATTGACAGTAAAGAGGTTGGTTATGCTGAATAAGGCAGGCCTCCCATGCTTAGCATGTTAGTTGTTCTTTCTACTGTCTGTTCACGTGGGAATCACAAAGACCTAGGATTTATCTCCCTTTAATTCTTCTTCCCCTACAGCTGGCCTGTAAGTACTACAGGTCAACATACTTGTTGTATGTAAGTACTTGTAAAAAAAAAAATATACGTATGTATATATATATATATATATATATACACACACTTATAGAACTTTAAGGTTTTTTTTTAACATAAATTATTTAAAACTTGCTGCTTAAAGCCCCCACACTGTTTTTACATTTAAACTCCACTCAGCTTGCTTGCCTCTGATTGTTGCTCCCTTCTGATGGTGCTTAATTCTGCAGTGGGCTGATAAGAATTCCAAATAAAACACAGGTAACTTGGTTCTGAATAGAGACCTCCCATTTAGCTGGCTGAAGCCTCAGAAGCCTTAGTTTCTGAATTTGCTACTGGACTGAGTTCAGTTTCAGTGCTAGAAGTGTAATTTCTGGGAACTAGGATAATCTTAAATTATTTTTACTTTTTAAGTTGTTAATAATAGCAATTTCAGACCCCACAGCCTTTGTTAGTAGTTCTTTTTGAACATTTCTTTTCACTACTAGCTTTAGATCCTAGGAGATTAGCTAGAGTTATAGGCAGCCTGGAGCATGGCTGGGGTCTACTCCCCTGCCTGTTGTCCTATGACCACTGTGTTGCAAATTGCGAGTCCAGCCTCAGATTTACTACTGCCTCCTCTTCTCTCCTTTCCTTTCTCAGGCACAATGGGAACATCCTTCTGGATGCAGAAGGCCACATCATCCACATTGACTTTGGCTTCATCCTGTCCAGTTCACCCCGAAACCTAGGCTTTGAAACATCAGCCTTTAAGCTGACCACAGAGTTTGTGGATGTGAGTCAGAAAGAAGAGGTGTTTCCAGGATCACTGTGTTCTTTCTCAGCCATGGGAGGGGAAGCTGATGGGTTCAAATTAGGGAGGAACGGAAATGACAGTAAGTCAGGGTAAGGCAGGATTTCCTGGGAGCTTCCTGCACTTAATAGGGAAGTGGGGAAATACTGGAGTTCAGCATGACTGTCCCAAAACAGGAAGGAGTTTTAGGGCCATGGGACAAGGACCATTCCCACCAGAAGTCCTGTTGTGCACACTGTCCTCCCTTTCCAGGTAATGGGTGGCCTGAATGGGGATATGTTCAACTACTACAAGATGCTGATGCTGCAAGGGCTGATTGCGGCTCGGAAACACATGGATAAGGTGGTGCAGATCGTGGAGATAATGCAACAAGGTGCGGCTGGGGAGGACCCAGGGTGCCTCAGGATTGGTACTCAGGTGGAGACCCCTTCAGCTTAAGACTTCCAAAAAGTTGATACCACTCCAAGACTCGGGTTGGTGGGGTGGGTGGGGAGGCTCCCCATAAGGGTTTCTGGCTCTGATCCAGTGCTTCATTTCTCCTTCAGGACCTTCCTCCTCACCATGGCAGAGCTGGGTCTGGGTGGGTGGGAAAAAGGAAGCAGTAGAAAGATCTCCTAGGCACCCTAAAGGAGAGAACAGTTCTAATTACCCTATCTCTCATCCAACTCTGTCTCCTCCATCTTTTCCAATTCAGGTGTTCCCACTCACACTTTCCTCTCATTCCACTTGGACCTCTGATTACCCTGTCCTCAGCCACCCCATACGAAGCCACCTTACTTTTCCCACTATTCACCTGTTCTGCTCTGAGCTGTTTTTCTTGTCTTCCACTATTCTACTTCCTCATTGCCTTGACATCTGGTTATTTGCCCAGGATCTCTTCCTCTGCCATCTCCTTTGGGCCCTCCTCCTCATCCCCCTCCTCAAGTTTCCAGGTGAATACCAGATCTGAGCTGCCAGTCTCCTTCCCACCCCTGCCCCCTACCCCACAGGTTGTCGTCGTTGCTCAGGAGCATCCCCGTCTAGCCCCGTGATGACGGTGGCCCAGGTCATCTGTGAGTGTCAGACGTAGCATAGACAGAGGCCTGCAACCAGATAAGTGCAGGGCCCATTCCCAGAGCCTCTTCCCAGCCTTCCCTCTGGCCCTAAGACTGCTCCCTCAGCCCTTACTGGGGGCGATATGGTGTGGGCTGTCTGCTCCCCTGCCCACACTTCCTCACCAACAGAGGGACTAAGAATGTGGGACGAAGCTGGCCTCCAGACAAGGTCTCCCACCAAGTGCTTCTCTCTGCACAAGCAGAATTGCATCCACACTGTCAGGGATCTCTGAGGTGGGGAGGGAAGGGGTACTTCAGATTCCCCTGGCTCTCTATTCCCTGTGGTGGCTACTACTGACCTTCCTATCTATCCATGACTTTGAACCCCACTGCTTCCTTCCAGGTTCTCAGCTGCCTTGTTTCCATGGCTCCAGCACCATTCGTAACCTCAAAGAGAGGTTCCACATGAGCATGACTGAGGAGCAGCTCCAGCTGCTAGTGGAACAGATGGTGGATGGCAGCATGCGGTCCATCACCACCAAACTCTACGACGGCTTCCAGTACCTCACTAATGGCATCATGTGACACCCTCCTTCTCAGGCCCAAGAATAGTGGGGGATCCAGGGCACCTTTCCTGGGAGGGCCCTTGTCAAAGAAACCTCAAACCATGAAACCCCACCTACCCAACCATCCACCCAAGGGAAATGGAAAGCAAGAAAAACAAAGGATCATGTGGTAACTGCGAGAGCTTGCCAGGGGTGGAAAAGCCAGCCATGGAGTCCAGACTTGCTGGGGCTTCCTTGTCCCCTGCTGTGTCAGTATTATCACCTGACAAGACTACAGAACTCATTGCCCTCCAGAGAGCAGAGGTGATGAATGTGATGCACCAGGGTCTGAGAGGTCCTTTCCACAAACCATCCTTAAATCTTTCCTGGGTCCCAGCAAGGTCGGGGGATGAATGGGTTCTTGGTACTTAGGATTTGATCCTATAGTTGGCCTTTGGCCATGCTGCTGCCCAACTCGATCCTCTGCCAGTGACTGACCCCTAGCCTAAGTTCCTTGATAAGTGGGTTCTGCCATAAGGTCCTGCACTTGCTGAGGTTCCCCATCATGGGAGTGAGGAAGGGCATTACCACAATCCCTCCAGTACGTTGAGGGTATTAGCCTAACCATGGGGAATTCCTTATCCGGATCCCTTCCTTACACCCAGGGAGATAGCTTTCAGTTTTTTTAAATTTTTGTTTGAAATAAAGTCCTTAGTTAGCCATCTGTGTCATGCCTTCATACCTGAATTGTTCCCGGGGGGAGGTGGGGAAATAGGGGTGGAAGCTGCATTGAATATATAAGACACCACACAGAAGAGATTGCTTTTCCCTGCCTACCTTGGTCAATACCACTTCTCCCCTGAGAAGGGCCTCCCCAGTTCTGATTCTCACCCCCTCCCTATTAAATCACATTGTCCAAATCACATAAAAAGAGAAGCTTGAATGGGGATTAAACCATGAGCAGTTTTAATGGTCTGGTTTTCTCCCTCCTGTTTCTCCCACTGTTAGTATTATTACTACAAGAATAAAGGATTCCTGAGAGCCTGTCTCCAATCTCTCTGGGCCTCCCTGACAGGACTCATCCCCACCAACCCCCACCCTGGACTTCTGGGGGAGGGGGGAGAAAAAGTGAAAGGCACTGCAGGGGTGGGGGGGTTGAGTGCCAGGGAGTTGGGGGTGAGGGGTGTTGCTAGGGCAGAACCTGGCCCAGAGGAAGAAATCCAAATCTATGCCTGAAGGAACTGTGTGTCCAGAACCCCCCCACCACACACACACACCCCACACACCAGTCCTCTGTGCCTGTCTAGCAGGCTTACCAAGGTCTACCTCCCACTTCCAGTCACACACTGGTGGGGGGAAGGAGGAAGGAAGAGGTCTGCAGCAGGAGCATAATTAGTGTTGGGTTCAGAAAGGAGTAACAGAGGGCCCATTTGACCAGGACCCAAGGGCCAAACCCAAGTGATGGGGGAGTGTCTGCAAATCACTATAATCCTCAAAAGCTTTTTCCTTCAGGGTTGAGGGAGAGAAACTGAACAAAATGTGAATGTTAATCAAACTCCCTGGCCCAGGAACCAGGTGGCAGCAGCAGTGAAACCTAGGCTCCCAGCAAAGAGGGAGGGGCTGGTTAGTCCCAGGCTTGGGGCTTAGTTGTCTCCACTGCCCCCCTGCCGAGCCCTGATGAATGCCATGCCATGCGTGCGGAAATGGGTCTTGAGGTTGAGAGGGCTGTCACAGCTCTTGCCACAGACCTTACAGGTCAGTGGGCCTCCAGAAGCAGGCAAGGGTGAATCTCCACCCTCTGGGTCAGAACGTGATGGAGGAGCAGCCTCTTCTTCCCCATCCCCGAGCCCCAGGACACTGGCTCTACCCACACCTCGTCTCTTCTTGTGGCTGATGAATCGGTGCCGGCTCAGAGAGCCAGGGGAGGCAAAGCACAAGCCACAGTCGAGGCACTGCTGGGCACCACCATCCACCCTCAACCCCACCATGATGCTTTGTTCCACTGAGCCACTACTCCTATAGCGCAGGGGACCGTGGCCTCCTGACCCAGGGCCACCCCTGGGGGACTTGGCCGGTGGTGTTGTGCTGTCAGGCTCCTCACTGCATGAGTCAGAAGACTGGCGGCGTTTCCGTCCTGGCCCCTGGAGAACAGTGGAAGAAACAGCCTTGTCAACCCCACTCTCCCTGGTGCCCTCCCCCCTCTGGCTTCTTGAGGCCAGAGTCTGCAGTCTCTCATTCCATAGCAGGGCCATGCCTACCTGGGCTCTGGCACCAGACCCTCGAGTCAGGGTATTCCCTCGGCCAGGAGAGGACTGGGTCCCAAGGGGCAGGCCATGCCGGACCTGGACATGTTTCTCCAGGATTAGGCGGCTGCTGAAGGTGCGCTTTCCCTCTGTGCAATACCTGGAAGGGGAAGAGTGGGCAGGGTGGCACCAGAAGCACAGCTCAAAGGTCAGGGCCCACAGCCCCTGAGAGGAGAGCTGCCAGAGCAAGGGGAAGGCTTCAACCTTCGGAACCCTTAAGCAAAAGGCAGGTAGGAAGATACTCTTGGGTACTTGGTGAGATGGGGGGTTACCTGCCAGGTGGAAAGAGGAAGAGAATAGGGAGCAAGAGTTACCTGCATGGGTAAACTCGCTTGATTCCCTCATGATTGACCCTGACATGGCGCCTCAGGCTGGGGGCAGAACAGAAGGATCGCTCACACAGGCGACAGGGGAATTTTTTCACTGACTAAGAGAGTAGAGGGCAGGAAATTTCAGAGCCAGGACAAACGCCAATATGCCCTCCAGCCCATCTTACCCCAGCCAGGGGATCCTACTCACCTTGCCATGTTCCTTCTTCATGTGAGCCACGTATTCATCACGCTCAGGGAACCAGGAATGACAAAGGCCGCAGGTCCAACCCCCAGATCCCCCACCTCCACCCTTGACACCTTTGCTTCCCAATTCCCGCCGAGGCCGTTTGGTTGGGCGGGGGGGCTCAGGGGAACTGGGCAGCTCCTCTTCGGAAGATGAAGATGATTCCTCAGTAGCAGGGGCTGCCCCTCCCGGAGTTACAGCCAGCTCCTCAGGCTCAGTCTTGGGGGTCAGAAGGGCACCTCCACCCCCTTTCCCAGCAGTCTCCTCCCCCAAGCGTCCAGACTGATGGGTGCTCTATGAGACAGACAAAGTGGGTGGCTGTTGTGGGGGAGTACCTGGCTTTGCCAAAGTCCTCCTTTTCTCCCTCTGCTCCCCATTTCACAAGAGTTGTGTGACCTAGCCCAGATCAACCCAGCTGAGCACCCATCATCCCCTGGCCCTTGGCTTCTATACCTTGAGATGTTCCAGCATGGTCCTTTTTTGGGCAAAAAGCAGAGGACAAGACGGGCACTTAAAGACACTGACGCGCTGGGGCAGCAAGTGCTGGTCAAAGTGTGAGGAGAGGAGAGGTTTGTGAGTGAAGACAGTGTCACACATGGCGCACTTGTAGATCAGCCTGTGGAGGCAGAGGGACAGTGCAGTAATCTGCCAGGGATGGGTGGAGCCCTACCCCCCATCCTGCCCTCCAGCCCATACCCTCCTCCTCATGCTAACTCCCCAGGTCTCACTTGGCTTGCTGTGTGAGGAAGCTGGGATGCTGGGAGTAGAGGTGGGCATGGGCGCTGGGTGCAGATTTGAAGGCCATAGGGCAGATGGGGCACTTGTGGAAAATCTCGCAGTGTGACGCCTGGACATGGGACTTGATGGAGTTCACACCCCCAAACACCACTGCACAGCTGGGGCACCTTGGGGAGAAGTGGGAGGCACTGTAGTAAGGCAAGGACATCTGCAAACCCACTCCCCCACCCCACATTTATTCTCCAGGACTGAGTGGACTCCAAAAAGGAAATCAGTAGTTAAGCATGAAAAAGGTGGCGAAAGAAGAGCTGGAGGCTCAGTTCCTAAGGGAGGCCTACTCTCCCCTGTCCCTGTGGGGAATGGCTGGAAAGCCTGAATATGCTAATGCAACAGGGCTGAGGGATACAGAGGCAGTACTGGAGTCTGAACTCAGGGTTTCACACTTGCTAGGAAGGCACTCTACCACTTGAGCAACACCCCCACCCCTTGAAAGGCCATCTGAAGGGTTCCTGCGGAGGTATGAAGTGTAAGTTCTTGGGGTGGGAGGGGTCTGTATAGAGCACCTGTATCCCACGCGGCGAGAGAAATGCAGACAGGCTTCCCGCAGATGGGTCTGGAAATTGGCTTGCAGGAAGTGACCTCCACACTCAGGACAGACGTACGGAGGTCGGTTCTTATGGGTGCGCTGGTGGGCACTGAAGCTGCAGCGATTGGGGAGCATCATGGGGCAGGATGGGCACACCTGTTGAGGGGATTAAACAAGTTGAGTTGGTGAAGGGTGCCCTGCTTTCCACTATTTCTCCTAACCAAGCCCCAAACACTTTCCTAGATCCTATCGCCACATCTGGCTGTCCTCTCCCCAGAGGGCTAGGAAAGGCAACTCACATTGCTGGAGGCCCCAGGTGCAGGAGGCCCCAGCTGCTGGAAGTGGGCTGCCATGCCAGCCTTGTCCCGGCACTGCTCCTTGCACTCCAGGCAGCGAAAGCACGTGTAAGCAGAGGTGGCAGGGACGGTAGGCGGCTCTGTTAAGAGCGGCAGCACAGGGGCCTCAGTGGCAACTGTAGTAATGGTGGAGGTGGTGATGGCCCCTTCACTCTTGCCCAAGACAGGCAAGACTAGAGGTCCAACAGCAGATGGGACAGCCACAGGCAGCAGGGGCGTGATGTCTGGCTGTCCCACCATCTGGTCAAGGGCTACAGGTCTCATGACCAAATGTGAGCACTGCATGACGAGCCCCTTGTCCTTGTGCTCACGTGCATGTAGGAGGAGACTGCACTTGTTGAAGAAGACCAGGCGACGGGCACAGTGATTGCAGGTGACCTCGATGCGCATGCTCCGGCGGTCATAGTGCCGTGCCAGGCTCTTCTCCAGTGAGAAGGCATCCCCACACTCGAGGCAGCGGTAGCCTGTTGGAGGCAGGGCCAGTCCAGCCTCAGCTGGTGGACTCAGGTTCGGTCTATAGGCAGGTAGCAGGTTCTTGCTGTTGAGGATTTTGTTGAAGGCCTCCACCAGGCTGGACTGGGTCCGTGAGATCACCGTGCCACTTGCTATGCCTGGCCCGGGAGCCGACTTTGAAGGTTGCACCATTACCACCGAGGCACCATTTACCTTCTGCCCCCCTGTTCCCAACCCTGCCCGCACCTCAGCCTTGGGCAGAGCTTGGGGCACCAGGCCTAGCACACTCTTAGCCATCGTCTTAGGACTGGTGGCAGTACCCCCAGGCAAAACCACAGCTTTGCGGGCCACACTAGCTGCCATAAGCATGGCAGTGCTGGCATTCTGGATGGTAGCCACAGGCAACACAGTGCCTTTTAGCCTAGTGCCATCACCCAATTGTACACTCACCACTTTTGGACCCTCAGGGGTTGGGGTTATGGGGGATAGCTTCAGGAGGCTAGCCTCAGCCAAGAAGGCCCCCTCAGTCAAGGGGGCAGGAGGATCAGGGTCTGAGGGGACCCGGGTTACAGTCCTTGTGATATTCCCACAGGAGGTTTTAATAGTCTTGATCCGCACCTTGAGGGGCCTAGAGGAGCTAGAGGAGGCAGGAGAGTCATTGCTGTCCTCATCTGCAGCCTCAGCTCCACTAGAGGGACTCTGGGGGCTTCTCGGGGGAGACTTGTGCACTGGCCCCTCATCTTCTTCCTTTGGGGGCTTACAGTTGGGCACTTTAGGGGAGGCAGGTGGGCTCTGATGCCCTGGAGACTGCTTGAAGAAGGGCACCCCAGCAACCTGGGGAGGTGAGGTGCTAGGAGGGGCACCTGCAGCTTCAGGGCTCCAGCCTGAGTCTTGCTGGGTTAGGCCCTGGGGATTACTGGGGCTACAGCTGCCCTGCTTCAAGGCCCCTGGTGGTGGGGAAGAACTAGATGGCAGCAAGGCTGGGCCATTTTCCGGAACCAGCTTAAAAGGAGAGGGGAAAGGAGGTGGGGTCTCAGCCCCCTCCTGAGGTGGGGAGGGTGCAGGAGGAGGCAGGGGATCCAGGTGCTCCCCTGGCTCAGGCCCAAAATGAGCAAAGAGGTCTAGGGGAGCTTTGCCTTCCACCATTTTTTCTTTCCAAGTATCTCCACCCGGAGGAGATGGAGAGCGGGGGGTTTCTGGGAGGGATGGGTCAGGCCCCCCAAATCCATTTTGCATCAGACAAGACCCCACAGGCCCTTCCTTAGTTGGCTCCCCTGCCTGAATCTCTTCCTCTCCTGAACCCCCAGCCAGGGTCTCAGACTGTTCAGGACACACTGTGTTCTTGACAATGACGCTGACTGTGGAAGTGTCTGGTGGTGGCAAGCCATTGTCTGAGGCCTGGGCTGGAACCTCAGGGTCATCCCCAGAAGCTGCTTCTGCTGTGTCTTCAGATTCACCTCCTATACTGGGTCCTGATTTCCCCGGGCCTCCTGGCCCCTCATTTTCTTCTGGCCCAGAGTGGATGGCTTCATTTGCATCAATGTCAGGGATGTCAAAGGCAGCAAGGAGGTCATCAAAATCAGGGGTCTTCATGTCCCCCATAGCGGCAGGTCCCAGACCTGATGAAAACAGATGAAAAAAGGAGAAACTGAGATACCTGGAATAGAGACCTTGTACCTCCTCCCTCAGGAGCTCCATATTAATCCCCTCCAACTTGGTATACCTTCACCATACTATGAATCTTAAAAAGCTTCTGGAGGTGCTCAGTGTGCCAAACCCTAAAATCAAGTGAATCAGCACATAGTAGCACAAGGACCAAAACCCAGAGAGAGAGATTCTCAGAAATACAGACAAGAGTAACAGGGGTGGAGGGATCTAATAAGCATCTTCGTTGAAACCAACTCATCCCAATTAGTCAATATGAATAAGGGTGATGGACACAAGGCTCTAGTTTTAAGGACTTCTTTGAGTCAGCATGGATCTTGAGATCCTCAGAGATCCGAAAGGCCACCTGTACAAAGAGGCAGCAACTAAAGCCAAGACTTAAGAAATTATTCTAGTTTAGTTTTAACACAGGTCTAATGTACAGACAAGTTACTTCACTGCTTTACTTTTACTGTTTGAAAGAGGGCACAAGTAATTCATATGCAGCAAGGTTATTCTAAGCACATAAAATTGTGAAAACAATTTATTATTATAGCTAAGTGAAACAAGTGCACGTGAGGTCAAGGAGAAACTGGGAAGGAACATGCGCTGGACATCTAGGGCTGTGGTCAAAGACGAGTTGGGTCATACAAGGTCAAGTGTGGGACTCTTGGGGCCACCAGTGAATGGCACTTGGAGATTTAGCTTGTTTGACAGGGAGAAAGAGACTCAGGGAGATCAGGAAGGAAAGAATAAGACACAGGAAGAGAAGGAGACAAAGACAGGTAGAAAACAGCCTGGTCACAAGGGCCCCAGCCTAGACCTCTGCTGTCACAAACACCTGCTGCTCACCTACCTTCCCCAGAGTGCCTCCTCCCTCCTCCACATTTTGCTCTCTCAGGGCTAAAACTCCAGGGTAAGCGCTTATTCAGAACAACTACATGGGGGAAAAGCCAAGTCCCTCCCTATGGTTTCAGCTCTTACCCAGTCTCTCCTAACTCAAACTCAATCTTCCTTTGGCAACAGGAGCCTAGGAAGTCTCGCCCAACCCCAACCTGGCCTAGTGCAAAAGTCCCACAAGACTGAAATGATAGTAAATCAACAAGGAGGCCAGTTCAGAAACTGTGAGAGACCCAGGTCTATCCCCTACCAGTTCCTCCCCATAAGTGCTTCTGTATTTGGGGAGAAGCAACTGAAAATCTATCCTTATACATTCCCTGCCCAGGATGCAAGCCGTTTTCCAGGGCCAATTCTCTCACCTCTTTCCAGTCTTCAGACTGTAACTGGAGATAGTCCCAGCAGGTGGCGGTTGGCATTGCTTGGACCAAGGTGGGGGTTGGGGGGATGGGTAACAACTAGAGGAAGAAAGGGGAGTAGTCCTTGCACCCTGCCCCCCTACTTAATTCTGCACACTGAGTTTAAACAAAGCCCTTGCCTCTGCCCTGATCAATCGCTAGGGCCCTCTTCTACTTCACTCCTTGACTGGGAGAGGCCTGGATTACCTTCCACTCTGGTCCCTAGCGAAGTGGGCTGGTGCAGCACAGACCCGTGGAGACTATGGGGAAACACCTGCGAACTTACCTCTCCCAACCACCCTCCCCCTTGGGCGTGCAAGTGACTTAGAGGTCATCCGATAGCCACCTGGAGCAGACAGTCGACCAAGCAGCGGAGAGCTCAAGACCGAGGAAGCTACCCCACTCCAAAACCCAGACCTTTCTGCGGCGGCTGCGCCGGGTCTCTAGAGCTCCCACTCCCCCGCCACCTCTTCCCTCCGGCCTTCCCCAAAAGCCAAAGGGGCTTAACAGTTAGACGTGAACAGAACCGCGTCGGGTGGGGGCCCAAGGCCTGCTGTGCAGAGGAGGGCCAGGGGCCGACGCCCGGCCGGGGGCGATTAGGTTGCGGCCAAGCTGGGCAGCGGGCGGAATTAAGTCCCTGCCATCTGCCGAGCGCTGGCGCGGGGAGCCAGACTTGGGCTGCAGGGAGGGGGCGGGATGCACACAGAAAAGCCAGAGGGGAAACTGAGGCGCGCGGCGCTTCTTTCACTTCCATGGGCCACGAAGTGAAGGCCGGGCCTGAGCCAGCCCAGGCCCTTTGGGAGCTGTCGCGCCAGCACCTCAGGGCCCAGGACTACGAGGGAACTGGGGGGGGGAGGGATCGGCGAGGGGGAGCGTGGAAAGAAGAAAAAGGGGAGAAAGGAGGGTACGGTCCCTGCGTGACTCTTAGCTCTCCAGTGGGGGTCCGTCCCAACTCAGCCCTCACCCCCTCCCTTCCGTGAGCAGCGCAGCCTCCTCCCTGAGCGGACACTCCGAGGCTCTCGAGACTGGAGAGTGATCAGAAGGCGCGCGGCGGGCCCGGGGTGCAAGCTTGAGTCCTGCCGGGGCCCGGACGCTGACCCTCGCCCAGTCGGGATGCAGGCTCCGCTTGGGCCCGGCCCAGTTCCCCCGCCCCCATCCCCGGACACGGACACCATTTTAGGTCGCGACATCCCGCAGCCTGCAGTCCCCGGGCCGCACTTCGGTTGCCTCTCGTCGGACTATGGACGCCAGGACTTGGGGTCCCCGACCCTTCTTCCACGTTTACCCGGCTAGGGGATGTGCTTTCAACAGGCTGGGAGTTTCGACCATCCGCCCCAGATGATGAAGGCGGTGTCCCGGCCTTCCTAGAAGCCGCCCCAGGGGGCGGCGCGGAGAAGGGGGTAGTTGACCAAGTGGGGGAGGGGCGGGGGCATTTACCCGCCCCCCCAGGGGGCGGAGCCAAGGGCGGGTATTTACCCCAAGCACGCTTACTTGTTCGGTTCCTAGCGCGGGCTGAGACCCAGCGGTCTCTACCCTACTCCAGCCGCCACCGCTGCCGCCACCGCCGCCGCCCTCCCCGCGGCCGCCGCTACTTCCTGCTTCTCCCCGGTTCGGCCTCCCTTCTGCCTCAGCTCCCTCCGCGCTCCTGGTCTGGGCTGCCCGCTTTCATACTCGCCATTGGTCAGTGTCCCCGTCGTTCAGTCCTGCGCCCCTCCCAGCTCCGCACTGGGTTGGCTTCAAGTACTGCCGTTCGGAACTAGCCCCGCATAGTTCTCTTAGCTTCATTGGGCGAGGAGCCTCGGCCCTCTGAAGAAGCTTCTCCCCATTGGCTGCTCCTGAGTCCACCTGCCCCTCTGCGCATGTCAAAAACGATTGGCCTCCTCTACTGTCGCTTAGGAAGAAGCCGGCCTGATTCCCCGCTTTCCTACTGGAGGGATAACTATCCCAGGTGCGTGTCCACTGCCTGGCTCCTATTGGCTGCTCGAAGCTGAACGCTGTGGTTCACTTATGCAAATTTCTAGAGCTCTTGGCATCAGTGTGGTGGGCACTTTGAGAACCTCGTCGACTCCGAGTGGAACCTGTATGTTGAGATCTATTTGTGCCGTTTTCTCAAGCTAAACCCCAATGTCAATGATGCCCTGCAGCCACCCCAAAACATTACGTCATCAGGCTTACCATTTCCTCGCGTTCTTCTCACTTTGTAAATCGTTTTAAAATCTGGATGGATGGAGCCTTCGCGGGGACCGGCTCCTAGGTGATGGCGTCACCCACTGCTCCTCCTTCTGCGGGAGAGCTTGGACAGGACATGGGATTAAAGAGTGTCAACGAACCAGGACCAGGAGCTGGGACAGGCTTGCGGACCGGAAATTGGGAAGAGGTGACGTTAGGAGTGCTGGCGTGGCCTGGACCATTTCCAGGAATCTTAAGGTAGCATAGTGATAGACCTCCTAAGCCCTGGGAAGGACAGAATTCCAGCTCCACTTCCCATTTAAGAGGTCTCTTTTACCCACGCCCCAGCACAGGGGCGTGGTACAGCACAGGGAAGAGAGTAGGATCCTGGTTGAGCTTTCCCGCGCTTTATTGCCCCGCCTCCTGAAGGCGGGGAAAAGGGAGGAGTTGCTCGGAAAACGAATTGCTGCCGTCCTCTGATCAGCACTTACTCGCAGAATCCATCTGCGACGCCAGTGTGCCACCTGGCGCACACTCCAGTCTGGCCGCGCGCTTCCGCAGCCTGCAGTGCGTGCAGCCGCTCCGAGCCGCTAGGGTTTTTATTTTTATTTACCTTTATTTTTTTGCGGTGCTGGGGGTGGAAGCCGGGGCCTCCTGCACGTTAGACAAGCGCTCTACCTCGGAGCTACATCTCCAGCTCTTGGCGAGGTTTTTAAGAGATTACCTGCCCTAGGGTCCATGGACATTTGACCCATAACTCTCAGGTGCATTCTGAGAGCTTCTGTGGGTTTATAAAGATTGCATCGAATTGTGAATCAGCTTCCGGAAGGGGATATTGGGGTCAGCACTTAGCATATGACGTCGTCGGACAAATCGCTGGAGCTCCCTGAACCTATGTTCTCATAGGGAAAACGAGGATTATAATATCCACTTGACGATTATTTTTGTGAGGATGAGAAGAGTTTAGAATGTACAAGTGCTTTATAAACTGATGGGGAAAGGTGCAGCCCCCACCCCTACCCCGCCCTGCTCCAACTCAGAGCGCTCTTCTCTGAACAACTAATTAAGGGTTCCTGGGTTGGCAGTGTGGCTCCCCTTGGGTAGTAGATCCCCTTGGGTGTTGTGGAGAGCTTTTGAGATCCCAGCTAGGCAGAAAGAATTAATAGGAGGATCCTGGCTGGAGGTGTGGCTCAAGCAGTAGAACACCTGCTTTCCAAGTAGGAAGCCCTGAGTTCAAACCTCAGTCCCACTAAATATATATAAATAGGATCTGAGTTCAGGTCACAGGCATATATGCAAAACTATTGGAAAAATAACTAAAGCAAAAAGGGCTTCAATGTGTGATTCAGGTGATAGAGCACCTGCCTAGCAAGGCTCTGAATTCAAACCCAGTACTGCCAAATATTTTTTAACTTATAGAGCACCATCTGTAAGTTAAACACCATTTCAGGCATTGGAGATACAGCAGTGAACAAAAAAAGGAAAAAATCCCTGATGTGACTGGGTGTGGGAACAGGATCCTATAGTCCTGCCTACTCAGGAGGTTGTGGCAGGAGGATCACTTGAGCCCACTTTTTCCCCCCAGCCTTGACAACATAGTGAGAATGCATCTCTTTAAAAAAAAAAAAAGGTGGGCTGGAGATGTAGCTCAGCAGTAAAGCACAATTAGCTGGCATTCTCAAGGCCCTGAATTCAATCCCCAAAAAGAAGAAAAGAAAGAAGAATTCCTGTCATGAAGTACACATTTCTGTGAAGAAGACAATAAATATGACAAATAACTAAAATATACAGAAGTATGTTAGAAATGATAACTGCCAAGAAGAAAAATAAAACAGGGCTATCAAGCCATAAAAAGACCTGAGTGACCCTTAAATGCATGTTACTAAGAGAAAGAAGCCAATCTGAAAAGTCTGTCTACTGGGTGATTCTAACTGTCTGACATTCTAGAAAAGCCAAAACCATGGAGACAGTAAAAAGATCAGCAGTTATCAGGGTTTAGATGGAGGGAGAGAAGGATGAACACAAGATCTTTAGGGCATTGAAACTATTCTGTGTAACGCTACACTAGTGGATACATGGCAATATGCATTTTTGGTACAAGGTAATGTGTTTCACTATGGACATTGTGCTTTTTGTCAAAATCCATGGACCGTACAATACAACGAGTGAAGCTTAATGTAAACTGGGTAAGCTTTAGTTAATAATGTTCTCAGCCAGCCACCAGTGGCTCTCACCTGTAATCCTACATACTTGCAAGGCTGAGATCAGGAGAATTGTGGTTCAAGGCTAGCCTGGGTAAATAACTTGTGAGACCCCATCTCCAAAAAGTAGTCAGAACAAAACATACTGAAGGCGTGATTCAAGTGATGGAGCACTTGCTTCACAAGCATGAAGTCCTAGTTCAAACACCACTCTCACACGCACACACAAAATGTTATCAGTCTTGGTTGATCAGTTTTAATAAATATGCCACGGTGATGCAAGATATTAATAACGGGAAGTTGTGGGGAGGCAATATATGGGAACTAACTATACTTTCTGCCCAGTTTTTCTGTAAACCTAAATGACTCTAACAAGTGAAGTATACCAATTTAAAAACAATTTCAAAGCAGGAAGGAAGACAGGAAGTGTGGGAGGGTTGTAATTTTAGATAGGGTGGATGAATGAAGCGCCTTTCTGATAAGGTGGCAATTAAGCAAAAACCCAAAGGAGCTGAGGGAGGGCGTGAGCCATGCAATATCTGGGTCAAGAACATTTCAGGAATAAAGAACAGGTACAAAGGTTTTCAGCTGGGAGTAACCCAGAGAGGTCAGCATGTAGGAAGGGTGAGTCAGGTTGTGGGGAGATCTGGGAGCTATTGGAAGGTATTTGGCATTTTCTCAGAGTGGGCCAGGTGTGGTGGTACACACCTATAATCCCAGTAACTGGAGAAGCTGGAGGCTGGAGGATTGAGAGCTTGAAGCCAGCCTGGGCAACATATAGGGGGACCTTGTCTCAGAGACAGAGAGAGAGAGAGAGAGAATCAGGCAGACAGACAGATTGGGCTGGGTAGAGCACTTGCCTAGCATGTGAAAGGCCCTGACTTCAATCCTCAGCACCAGAAACACACACACACACAAAAAGGGGGCAAGGGGAGAGATGAAGAGAGATGTCATGGTAGCTTGACTTTTCTTTGGAAAGGTTGGAGGCTGGACATGGACATGGATTACATACTTGTAATCCCAGCTACTTGGGAGGCAGAGACCAAGAAGATGAAGGGTCAAGGCCAGTCCTGGCAAAATGTTCACAAGACCCTATCCAAAAAAAAAATGTAAAGCAAAAAGAACTAGGAGTGTGGCTCAAGTGGGATAGTGCTTGCCTAGCTAAGTCAAGGCCCTAAGTTCGAATCCTAGTTCTGCCAAAAGAATTTTTTTAACTAAATAAAAGGGCTGGAAGTGATGTATGACAAGAAGAATCAAAAGAGTGGGGCCTGGAGAAGTGCAAGAATGATGTTGTCATTTCCTGAGCTGGGAAGGCTACAAGAAGAAGCAGGTTTCATGGGTTAGGCCAGTAGCTCAATTTTAGTCATCTTGAGTTATTGCATATTTAAGTGAAGATAAAAATTTGAGTGTCATTAGCTTACAGACAGTACTTACAGCCAAGGTCAGAGCGAATGAGAACATCAAAGGAGTGTGTGAAGACAGGGAAGAAAGTCCACTGGCAGCCATGGGGAACTCCAAGGTTTAAAGGCCAAGGAGACTGAGAAAGAAAAGCAAAGAGGAAGAAAGGAACCCTGAGGATGCTATGAGGTTTGAGGCCAAAGAAAGTATTTCAAGGCAGAGGGGGCAGACTGATAAACTCAGATGCCACCAACATGTCAAATGGATGAGAATTGACCAGTGGAGCAAAATAGAAGTCAAATTGACCAGAGGAAGCCATCGGTGACAGATCTGGTAGATTGTCAGGGATTAAAAGTTTACATGAAATGAGTTCAAATGAATTGAAAGAGAAAAAAGAAAAAGGAGACATTGACTAGACAATCATTACAAAAAGAGGGAGAGAAACGGAGACAGCTGGAGGGGAAAGAATGATGACAAGCGGACTTTTTTAAGCTGGTGGAATGGCTTAAGTGGTAGAGCACCTGCCTAGCAAGTATGAGGCCCTGAGTTCAAACTGCAGGAATGCAGTCCTCTTTTTTTTTTTTTTTAAGTTGCTTAGGCTGGCCTCAAATTCCATCCTCCTGATCTCTGCTTCCATAATAGCTAGGATTACAGCTGTGTATGAGCCACCACTACCTAGACAAAAAGAATTTTTTTTTTTGTCTGTACTAACACTGACTAGGCAGGTGCTCTACCACTTGAGCCATTCCTCCAGTCTTGTTTCTGTGTTTGGGTATGTTTGAGATAGGGTCT